TTCTCCTGCCTTTGAGTCAGCCAGGGACAGTAGCAGTGCAGGGAAGAAAAGGACAATGAGAGAAGGGAAGTGCTACTGAGCATGGAGAGGCAGGGTAGGGAGTCAGGATTCTTACCTTATTTGGGAACTTAAGAGCTGCCTATAGATGTGCTCGTTCACATTCTAATTAGAAAGCTCCAGTGTCACTTTACCTTCATGTGTATTAAGCCCCCCCACATTTCAAAATGTCCACAGGGGAGCTTTAACTAAATTCCGTCAAATGAGCTTTAGTTAAAACACCCCTGTGGCCATTTTTAAACACAGGGGGGCTTCATACACATGACGATGAGCTGGTTTAATTAGAGCAGCTGTCTGGTAGCCACTGTAATTAAAATGCCCCCCCACCACCACCGAGCACATGTACAGGCAGCCAAAATGTCCCTGGCTGCTGTTCCCATGGTGGTCTGCCCACCCCAGTGGAAGGGGTATAGTCTGAAAGTAGGTGGTGCAGCTACCCCTGCAGTTCCAGTTGCTGCTCCTTCCCCCCCACCCCCTGCCCGCTTTACAAAATGCTGGATCTGCCTATGCTTATAGCCAACATTTTAGTGTGTTTGTAGATACCTGAAAGAATACATCAAGATACAATAATTTAACTATATTTATCCAATTTCCAAACGCAGATCAGCAGCCAGATTTTGCCAGGATATGTTTCAATGGACATTGTAGGTTTCAGAGTTCCTGAATGCATCAGATGAAGTAGGTTGTACCCAATGAAAGCTCATGACTTTCTGAATGAGTTAGTCTGTAAGGTGCCACCTGTTCTGCTTTCTGCCTTCCTTCATATAGTGAATGTATTTTTTCTGATTAGGCCATTAACAGTTAAGTGATATATTGTAAGAGAGGTGATTTTTCTCTCTTTTTTGAGCTAAATATGTTGATGAGGAATGCCATGTCTGTTAGGATCATGTCTTTTAATACTACCACTGTGACCTTATATATTAAGATTGACAAGTAAATGCCATGTGTTTTTTAATGATCTTTTTAGTACATACAAGATATGCATTAAATACTTCTTAGGGTTAAGAGTAATTTAGGTTCATAGTTATGGCAGGAGATAGTTTTAGGGTTGTTTTACTGAATTTTAACTTAATATGACATGTTTTTCTCCCTAATTAGTTATACTCAGAAATGAATATTGCTCCACGGAGACTTATGGGGCTTGTCCCAAGAAGTGTGCACGTGCATTTGCAGCACCTCAAACCCCTTTTGAGGCATCAGAGACCGCACATGGCACATGTGCACCTGTTCACTGTGCTACTGATTTCCAGTGCAGCAGTTTTGTTTGACACTGGTAGATCCTGGTGTAAAAAAAGAAACCTGCTGCTAAAAAAAGCAGCGTGGTGAATGCAGCAGCAGCGTACCCTGCCAGAAACAGAGCCTGGCTGGCCAGAGTCACACTCTGGCTGCTGACCAGGTGCTGAGTGGCTGGCCCCTTGCTGCTGCTGCTGCCCCAAGAGGCCCCCAAGACCTCAGGTGAGGCTGTTGGAGCCAGCACAGGTGGCCCCAGCCTCCCCTACCCCACCTACATCAATTTTCCATGTGGTGGAGTGCACACACAGGGACGTTCCCAGGGACAAATAGCAGCGGCACACCCCTGCATGTATGCATTCATTGGAACATGCCCCATGGATTTGCATTTGTGACCCTCTCAGTGTTAGACATTTACATTTCAATTCTGTTTGGGGGCATCATGGTGGAGAGATTGAGCTTGTTGTGGTATGTTTGTATGTTGGACAAATTTCTTATATATGCAGTAGCTTCCTGTAACATATAACAGTTATGGTGTTTTGAAAGAGATCACAGTTCTCAATTTAAATCTGCATTGAATTTTTGTTAAATAGGTGAGATAGTAGAGGTTGATTTTCCTGCCAAATACAGTACCAAGGTATTTCAGATAGTATCTGTCTCAGCAGGGCTCTTGTAGAAAGCCATGCCTATAAAGCGAGTTTGGTTGGTTTATTAAATATTCCCTAGCTAAGGACTTTTTTTTCCTACTCCTTTGATATTAGGTCATTTGCTCCTCAAAGGTGTCTGCCTCAAAGTGAGCAGCAGGTGATAAAAAATTAAGAATAGTAACATCTCCTTCCAGGTATCTTCCCGTTCTTTATAACCCATCCCTATTTCTTATCAATCATAGCTAGGACCTTGGACTGTAGCATAGCTGCCTTGGGGAGAATTTCCAGCCTGTTCTCTTCTGCTGGAAGATAGTGTGAGGTTGCTCATATGAGTAATAGCGACCTTGATCCCTGGCTACTGAGAGGAAACGTGAGTTGCAGCCCTTCCTGTCTTTGGGTATTACTCATGGGCCCTCAAACAGGTTTCATAATACATTTACTAGAATAGCAGGTGGCCCTCTTGAAACCACTGCCTTTCTGCCAGTGACAAACTAACCCTTCCTAAAGGTATTTTTCCTAGAAAAGTATATTGATGCAATAGAGTTCCCTTCCTGTATGGCCACTAGGCCTATTATAGCACTGTTCTGTGTATAGCAATCAGAACAAAGCATCTTGAATAAAAATCAACTATTTAGGGAGTCTTCACATACCTGTTTGAAGGATGACAGTGTGTTTGAAACATGTCTAACAACTGTCTCAATGCCCAAACTGCGTTTTGTGAATAGCAAGCAAGAGAACAGCAAGCCATATATACTTCCAAGTGAAACCCATTTATTTTCATTGTAGGACATCTATTACAACAGTTGCCTTTTTTTCTGTATCATTTTCTATATCATAAAAATGCTTTCCTACCATGACAAGTGACGCTGTAAAAATGTCCTGGTGGATTTCCAATGTATTTTTCTCATTTATTCCCAATTCTGATATTCTCATCTTAATAAGATTTTTGTTAAAGGCCATCTCTGAAAGTTTCATCTGTAAGAACCTACCAAATTCATGGTGGAAGTGGGCTGCATAGTAATCCTTTAATCTTGCATGTTCCCCCATGTGCCGCCCTGCTGATGGGTGGAGAGACCCCATCACTTGCTCCTGATCAGCAGAGAGGAGAAAACTGCAGTATTAAATATGGTGCCATTTTTGCCTCCCGGCCAGTCAGCAACAAGCAGCAGGGCCACTGTGGCCCCTCAGCCAATCAGCAATGTGGGGAGGGGGGAGTATGGGGGAACCTGCAAGATTGAAGGAGTTGCTGCATGGCCCACTTCCACCATGAATTCAGTAGGTTCCTCTTCATCTGGGAAGCAAGAGCCAAGCTGAGGATTTTTTTTTTCAATTTGTTTATCATCTTCCTTAGTAAGAATCTTTGGACTTTTGGTTTTGCCCTTGTAGCCATGTGCAGGCATTATGTTTCTACTGGGAGAACAAACTTTCATTCAGTTTCTCCCTGGGGGAAACATGCCCCCACTGGGAGAAAATTTTTGAGGAAGAAACTCTCCTGAAAAAATGAAAGCCGGTATGCTTCCCGCCCAGAATGGCCTGATCCCGGGGGGAGTAGAGCAGTGGGGCAAAGTTCCCCCCGCCTATTCCTCATGCCAGGGGCTCCAGTCTGGAGAGCAGGTCAGAGGTTTGCCCATTGCTCCCCCACTCAGCTCCTGTTGCTGGGAAGAGTTGGGGAGCAGCTGATCCTTGCCCCTCTGCCCCCTCCTCAGATTGGGTCCTAGGGTTTGCCTTGCTGCTCCATTCCCTTCTTGGACCCTTCTGGGAGGGGACTGGAGCAACCCCTGAAGCGCCTTTTCTACACCCCAGAATGGGTGGAGGGCTTTGCCTCTCCAGTCCAGGAGAAGACTGGAGCAGCCCCGGTTCCCCATGCCTTGCTGTGACTGGGATCACCCCAGCTGGGGAAGGCATGGAGAGAAGGGAAGAGAGGGCGGTTGCAGGCTTGCTCCCTCTCCCAGAATGATTTCTAGCAGTAGAAGTTTCTGAGAAATTTTCACCATGAGAAATTAACTCCTTTTTGAGGCCATATTCTTCCAAGTAATACTCAGTGCTACTGGTGTCAACCCAGAGCCTCCCTGGCCAGGCTGCCCCAGGGTTAGCACATAAGAGCTTAGTAAATGGTTCTGTTGATGTGGTACAAAAAGAATAAGATCTGCTTGCATCTTTGCTGTGCTGCCGGGGCT